AAGGGAGCACCCACTGAACTACCTGAGTCAGACTCCTACACACCCGTGTTGCCTCCAACGTTGATGCCTCACCAGCCTCTGAACAGGTAGCACCCAAATTTGTGCTCATTAGACTCACCCAAGAGCTTGTTAAAAATGCAGGTTTCCGAGTCCCACTCACGACAAGATCCTGAGTTTGTAGTGAGGGGTCCAAAATGTGCTCTCTCCTTTTATTTTTGGAAAGGGCATTTTAACAAGCTCCCGGGGCCACTTGGATCAAGATACTCAGGAGACTGCACTTTGGCAAACACTGCAAAACCGTGGCCTTCCCAAGACATGAGTCTGACGGCGCCTTCCCTGCTTCCGTGGCTCCCTGCACCTTCAAGACGGAATGTGGTGATGGAGGTGGCCTTGGCCTTTGTTCACTTTCACCCTCAAGGATGAAACTCAGGTGTCACTGTCTGTGGGACTCTTCTCTGACCTCCAGGTTGGATTAGCTTCTTGTCCTCTATCCTCCCCCATAAATTATCTCTAATTCTTTTTATTTAGCAAACATACATACAGTGATTACTATGCGTCAGGCACTATTCTAAGTGTTTAATCCTTTACTGACCCTATGAAATAGGCAGTTTCATTAAATCCGTTTTACAGATGAGGAAACTGAGGGATGGAGAGGGGAAATAGTGTGCCACACAGCTGGTAAGCAGAGGCCAGGGATTTGACCCAGGTAGTCTGGCTCCAGAGCCCATGTTCTTTCTCATGTCCTTGTGCTGCCACCTCTCACCTGCCTGGGCACTTAGCACACTGTGTTCCAAGTGTCTGCTCCTGACGCTCCACTAGACCGAGAGCTCCTGCGGCCCTGGAGAGACTAAGCGCTCAGCCCAGGGCCTAGCAAGCAGTGGGAGCTCAAGGAACCTTTGCTGAAGGACAAAGTTGTGCATTGTAAATGAGATCAGGTGCAATGACCTGCCTAACAGTCTACTCTTCATAGAGCGACACTCTGGAGGTGGCACACCACCCATTCCACCTCGCTTGGTTGGAGACACTGGTGCTTGGCTGAAATGTGTCTCTGTGGTTCCCCAGAGCAGACCCAACTCCTCCTGCAGAAAGGGCTCTTCAGATACTGAAGAAGTGGCTTTCACTTCTGCAGGGCAACCCTGGCCTCTTCTGCCTGGAGATTTGAATCTCCAGTCCACCTTCGACATCTCCCTTGGAATCTGCTCTGGTCAGCTGGGGCCCTGCCCAAGAAGGTGACCTCCAGATATAGGTGCCATGTGCCCAGTTTAGATTATGCCCTGCTGTGGCCAATGAATTCTGATTAAAATCAAATAAATGTATGATGTATTTCCAAAGCTTCCCTTCCCTCCACCCTCCTCCCACACAGCTACAGTAACATAAGCCTCGGCAGCCTTTGGAACACCAAAAGCCCTGGTTTCTAAGGATGGTACATTGCCACGGGACTCTGTACTGTTGCTTAGAAGGTTTGTGCTGCCCTGGCTCATATGGCTCAGTTGGTTGGAGCACTGTCCTGTAGACCAAAAGGTCGCAGGTTCAATTCCCAGTCAGGGCACCTGCCTAGGTTGCAGGTTTGGTCCCTGGTTGGGGCACATATGAAAGGCAACCCCTCAATGTTTCTCTCTTACTTCGATGTTTTTCTCCCTCTCTTTCTCCCTCCCTTCCCCTCTCTCTAAGGTCAATGGGCATGTCCTTGGGTGGGGATTTAAAAAAAAAGATTTAGGCTGATTATGCTTCCAGAGCCAAGGGGTTTCCCACAAGGTTTCCATTCTCACACCAACATTGCAAAGCATCACCCATGACTACAACAACAATTAACTCCATTTTAGCAGCGGAAGAAATAGAGCCACTGGAGGTCAAACTTGCTCAAGGGCACACAACTGCTAAGTGGCAAGACACTGGGGCTGAGATTCCAGAGCCTGCTTGCTCCTGTCCCGCTGCCATTTGGCAAATGCTGGTTGGAACATAATGAAATGAGCATAAAATAAGCGCTAAGGAAAGGCTGCATTGAGCAGGAAAATGGACGATTACAAATAGGCAGAAAAAGGAAAAACAACTAATCATTTATGACCCTTCACATCTCCATGGTCTTTCTCTGTTGCACTAAAAAGCTCCCCCAGTTTGAGATGTTATTCTTCCCCTTGTATTCATTTTAACTGGAATATAAAGATATTTATGCCTACTGTTCCTTTTTAGAGTTTAAATATCAGGAATTTCAGAATGTCCCTATTTCAAAACTGAAAAACATCAAGGACTTGAAAACACAAAATGAATGATTTTCATTAAAGGCCATTAGCAAATAGCAAGTTATTAGTACGATTTAAAATCAACATATTTTGAAAACTATGAACTTCATCTTAATCTTTTTTTAATCCTTTGTCTACAACCTCTACCCCGACAGTGTAGAGAAATGCCCAACACACTAAAACACTTAATAAATATATGTGGGTTCACGGGCATTCTTTCTGCATCAAGAGAAAGAAAAATACTTATTTAAATAACCTGATTTTTAAAATTGTAACCTGGGCCATAACTGCCTCATGTTGAAAACATCAGAAAAAGAAAACTACCATTATGACAAAATATATAATCATTGCAGAAAGCAAATAAATAAAACTGTAGTGCTTATTTAAAGCATGAGAAAACCAAGTTATATCAAATATATTCCCTAAGATAATTATACATGCTCATTTAGTAATCAAAAATTAGTCAAAAGAAATGGTGAAGAAAAAGTCCATATATTTCAGGGTAGGAATGAAAACATAAGTATTACTCAAGCGTATATGTTTGTACCAAGAATAGTGAAGTTTCTAACACTGTAAAAATTAGCAACCAACAAAGCAATTAAAGAAATAAAGCAATTAAAGTAATTACCCGCAGAAATGGGTAAACCCCAAAATTACATTTTACCTAGAAGTAGAAGACCAGTAACAGCATACATATCTTAATTTCTTTCCGAACTCCAACGTCTCCAAGAAGAAAAGAGCTCAGACCTAAGCAGGCTGATTTACCCTGCAAAATTTTCCTTTCAAAAAGTATGGCTGGAAATTGGCTCTCCTAAAACAGAAGGAACTTTCACAAGAGTTATATAAGCAAAACACACAGGCCAATTCAGTGACGTGGAAACCACCTCATGCAAAAGAAACGCAGCAAACACAAGTAACCCCCATTCACGTCTCAGATCCTGTCAGCTTCTCAGGATGAAAATCAGGGCTGATTGTAACCTCCTAGCTCTCCAACCAAAGGATGGAAAATTTCTAATGAAAATTTATAAACAATTAAACAACAGGGAGTCCTAACACACTTTGTGGAAAGGATTCATATTTCATGGTTAGTTAACCATCTGGAGTATCTTTAAACTTCCTATGTCCACCTTCTCTTGACCGCTTTTCCTATTATGGAAAGATAAAATGAGGATTTTAAATTCCCTTCGCTGTTAGAAACAGGCTGTCAAATGCACCAGACGTGTGCATGGAGTCTGTCAAACTGGAGGTGAATTGGGGAAACTTGCTCAAAGCCTCCTCTCTGCAAACAACTTATTCCAAATGCCAAGTCTGTCCCACGTTCCTCAGCCCACTTGGGACATCCCACTCACAGAGCCACCTGCTCATCTTTCCATCATTCGAACTGTGGCAGAAATGCCACCTCCTCACAGAGTCGTCCTTGGTGGGGATGGGTATCAACCACCTGTCTCCTATGCATCAAGGTAAGGAGGTAAATGGAGGAAAGGCAGGTGTCAACAAAAACACCATTCCCAACATGGTGCAGATGTTTTGTCAACTTCAAGTATCAGCATGAGAAGGAAAGGGACCTAGGGCCAGCCTGCTTTTTAGAGCAGAAGGAGATTCATTCATTCACCTCACAAGCATTCATGAAACTCCTACTGTGTGTTGGCAGGGCAGTTCCTTGGGTACAGAGGGAGGAAACAGGATGTGGTTCCTGCTGTCAGAGAGCAGACAGTCTTGTAGGAGGAAGAGATATAAGAACTGAAAATTATAATACTGCACGATTAGTGCAAGGAGGGAAACAGGTTCAGGACGTTCTGGTTGTACATCAAAGATGCACCAGGCTCAGCTGGGGGTCATGGGAGGTTCCTGCAGGAGAAAAGGACTGAGTGAACCAGGTGGAGAAGAGGAAGGGAGGGAGGGAGGGAGGGAGGGGAGGAGGAGAGCCTTCCAGGCAGAGGGGCTGGTGGGACCCGGGAACAGACAACAGGCTGGATGTGGAAAGAATGCCAAGTGACTGGGTAATGCTGCATCAGGTCCATGGTGAGAAAGGCCACAGGATGGCGAAGGGCCTCTGAGACCATATGGGCCACCCCTGAAGGGTTACAACCAAAGGGTTGTAGGGCCAGATCAGTGTTTGAGGATGGCCACTCTTGGAGGAGGGAGCAGTGTGTGCGTGGATATGGGCCCAGTCCGCGCACAGCCTCCCAGTGAAGGTCAGAGTGTTGGGCGCTGACGTCTGTGGCCCAGCTTCATCGGCGGCCCTCCTGCCTCACCACACGTAACTTCCCATGCCCAGTCCCTGCTGCCAGGGGGCCGAGTTTTATACCTACTGCCCCTGTCCTCCCTAACAACTTCAGCCCCACTGCTCACTGAACATAAGACAGATACCTTACTCTCAGAGAACCAGCCAGAGGGCCAAATACCTCTGCTCTGCGTGGCTTGGCATGACGAGAAAACAAGCTGGGCCACTCAGTGTCTTGTCTTGGGAATTTAACAGTCCGGGAATAACCAGTCAGTCTAGGTATGTGTGCAGATGCCAAAAATGGGTCACAAGGCAGAGTGAGCGCTCTTGTTCCTCATGGCCAAGAAAGACACCCAGAACAACCGCTCAGAAGTTCATGATTCCTGCTCCCAGCCATCCGCCATTAGCACCGATAAAAACAAGACTCGTTGTTTTAAACCACGCTATTCATTTGAACTATAAAGGCTTTGGGCCTACTTGTCTGTCTGGAGGGCTCTCTGTTCTGTAATGAAGCCCCTCCCCTCCCAGTTACTCACAGAATTGCAGGCTGAGGCTCAGGAAGGCCAGCAGCGCAGCGAGGGCCAGCAGCAGCAAGAAGCGATTGCGGAAAAGCATTATTATTTATTCTATCTCCTCTTCATGGTTTCACCTCAAATCGGGAACATGCCCTGTGAATAAAGCAGAGGCAATAAACACATGTTCCAAGGTGGAAAACCAAATCTATCAACTGAAAATAATCCAATTGGCCCGGGCCTCTGGCAGGCAAACATGAACCCTAGAGGGAGAACAATGGCAAGCGCAGTTACGTCTTTGCCCCCAGAAGCAGCCTGCCAAGAATGTGTCCGACATGTTAGGGGAAAGCAGTTTGTGAATGGTTCACTTATCTGATATCAACAGGGAATGAGATACTTTACAGCGTGACCTTTCCAGAGAAAAACGTGAAGGGCATTTATTGAGCACTTATAGTGTGCCAGATGAAGAAGTGTTTCCCGGGACCAGCTCATGCTCACCCCGTCTGATTCCCAACTTCGAGTCTCCAACTTTTTGGGATGAATGTTTTGCAAAGACGACTCCCGTCTTCTTTATTTTTAACATTAATCTGAATGTCAGTCATTGCTGCGTGTCCCACAGTAATGCCCGTAAGGACAGCTGGGGTGTGCCAGAGGGCTTGTTCCTGCACTAAGTAACCCCCCTTCTGATTAGAGGCCTTTCCCCAACCTGACCATTGAGCTTGTTCAGCTGCATCCATGGGTCTTCCTGCAGTCCCACCCACTCTCTCTAATTTCCTCTCACCACTTCAGAACTGTGTAAAAGGATTTGAAACAATGTTGAATGAGGCCCTAAATGACCTCTCAGTGAGAAAAAAAAAAAAAAAAAAAAAAAGAGTGTTCTCTATAGGTGTTACCCCTTCATTCTTGGATACCAAGTGTCTTTCCTGGTGGTCTCTCTGGCATTTGAAACAGACCTTGAAAATCACCTCTTCCTGGGACATGCCCTTCCTCGCCCTGGTGGTGTCTCTTGCTTCAGCACCTCGGAGGCCAGACCTGCCTCTTGGTCGCTCTGGCCTTGGGAATGGGAGGTCAGGGCCTTTCTTCTGGTGCTGGGCCAGGTCTAGCCTCTCAACCACTTCCTGTCTCTAGCCACTTGGGTGATTTTCCATCACACTTACTGGCAAGTGCGGCTATTAGAACTACTATGTCTGCACTCTTTGATTTTACCTGATACTGCTTTTTCCTGGGAGGATGAAGCACCAGATGGTTTCTAGTTGTTTTCACGTGGGCATTAGGTGTGAACAACTGCTACTTGTTGAGTTGAATCTCAGGCTAACAGCATGGCAGACCTGTTGTCGTGATCAGCCCCAATTTGTTCCTGCCTTCTTGGATCAATGGGCTTGTATAGTCTCCTCCCACATGGCCTCTAAGCTTGGAATAGGTATTGGTTTTGGCCAATGGGACAGTAGCATGTGAGCTGCAAGCAGAGGCTTGAAAAGTCCCCATATTTTGAGGTCTGTCCTCCTTTGCAGTTTTTGGAACTCTAAGACCACCATGTGAAGACGCCCGGCAAGGGGCTGGTGGATGATGGCCCACGTGCAGCCAAGGCTGCAACCACCAGCTTGCCAATCGCCACATGTGAGCAAGACCCTCGCACACCATCCAGCACAGCCATGCCACCAGGAGATGGATATCAGGAGGGTCAGTCCAGACTGAAAGAATCGCAAGGCCAACCGACATAGCACAGCAGACATGATGGCTGCTGTTTGAAGCCACTAAGTTTTGGGAGCTTGATACAAACCAAAAGAGAACTGACACAATAAAGAGGAAATGCTTTGCATGTTTACTAGAACTCTCTAAGCCAGGGCCTAGATGTCCATATTCTCATCTCAGGCACCACATGCACAGCTCCAAGTTGTCTATATTCTTCAATATGCTGAGCGCTGTTTGGGAAAGGGGCTATATTTAGCTCTAGATTTAAAATACTGAGGTTATGTTGGTTAGCCAGATGGCTGGGCTCACGTGACTGCCTGACTGCTTTTAGTTTTCAGGAGGCTGACATCTCTGCGTGTGCGATGCTGTTCATTTGATGACACAGGCCTCAGTCTGGGAGCACCCACTCTCTCCCCTTGAAACTGCCTGGGTCCTGTAACCTCTCCCTTCTCACTCTCTTTGGCAGCTGCCGAATGCCGGGCGATGGTCAGAGTCTCCTGACCTCCACTTGTGCTAGGGACAATGACACTGAGCACCGCAATACACACGTCTTCTTCTGGAGCCTTACTTGGAGAGGAAGGTCATGCTTTGTTCTTAATTTTTAAAAATTGACTGTAATGATGACATAATTCAAAATTCACGTGGACTGGAAGACATCTGTGTTTACAGCTGGAGCTAGGGCTCCGTCCAATGTGTGTGTGTGCATACCCACGTTTATGTCCGGCGAAGGGCCTGGGGTATGTGGTTCTGCCCTGGGGCATGTCTTCACTGGGGACATGTCCTTGGCGAAAAGCCTGAGATGAGCCCTGACGTTGTGCAAAGGAGACTGGTAGGTGTGTGCTAGTTCCCTGCTCTGCCACTTGCTTTCTGTGTGCCCTCCTCACAACGCACTGACTTCGTTTCTCTGAGTCTGGGATCCAATTTTTAAATAAGAAAGAGTCTAAGAGCACAAAGTAGGAGGGCGGTGAGGAAAAACTATGGTCATTTGCAGAGTAGTGGCACAGGGTCACCATGCCCTGTTGGCCTCCCTGGTTCTACAGGAATCACAGAGACCCTGAACCATCATCGAAGCTCAAAGATTTGCCCTTTCCCCTGAGCTTCTGCTTTTACCCCAGACTGTGGTTCCTCTTTCAGATCCTGGCCACCAGTCACTTCCCTCCTTGCAGGCCCAGCGCCAACCGTCAGGGCAGGCAGCCATGGGGCAGACAGCCATGTGTGCAGCCTGCTCCTGGCGAGTCTTCCCCAGGGGCTGACTCAGCTGTGGTCCCCACCCCCCTCACCACAGGTTTTCCACCTGGAACATTTGTGTCAGCTCCTGTTGGGCCCCATCCTAGAAAGACAGGACTACCAGCCAATGGGCTCTCTCCGTCTCTGCGGCCCAAGTTCTAGCCCTTTTCTCCACAGACCCCTTTCTCTTTTTCCATCCCTAGCAAGGAGGCTCATGCAGCCACTCACAAAGTCATATGGTCCGTGGGTCCTTTCTGGCCATCTTCCCACATATCCCTTCCATGGGAGTCTCTACGCGCACCCCTGGGGTCAGCTGCAGTGCCTCCAGACACTGCACCAGACTTGTCAAAGTTACATGAAATGACAGCTGGGTCTTTGGGCCCCCAGTGGAAACCCCCAGCCTGCTCACTTGCAGCCCAGAAAATAAAGTTTCTGGGAAGACTCACTGCTGCCTCAGCAGGCTGGGACACTGTGGGACCATGACCTACTTTAGTACGGCTCCCACATTGCCTAATCCCCAAACATCGCCTTCCATGCAAAAGGTGCTCTAGGTTCAATGTGGCATCATGACCAAATCCAATTTCTATAAATATTTCAGTGGAAACAACTGTTTTGTGTCCAAGGCTGAACATACAACAGAGGCCAGTCATCAGATGTCTACTGGGCATAGCCTTAGTTCCCTGTGCTAAGTCCACATGGTAAAAATATCTTAAATCCAGAAATAAAATCGTTACTCTGAATTCCCAACAAAACAGCAAATAATAAAACAAACAAAACCCAGCCAACTGTAATTCAACTTTACAGCAGATTTGAACAGTAAAGCATTTTAAAATATAATTTTGAAAAAAAAAGTACTTGTTAATAGGCACTTGCCATTGTATTATGGTAAATACCATTTCTGAATTAAGAGAAAGAAGGAACTCGTCAAAGGCATTTTCACAAGCTACCATTCCACCACCCGAGATTTTCAAAGCTCAAGCCCTGGCCTGATTTTTACCTTGTAAGGGCTAGAAATGTCATATCTGGTGACTCTGGTCTCAGAGTCTCCTTCAATGTACACAGAATTTAGGGTTTTAAATATGACCATAACTGCTTGGAAAAAAATGTGCATCCAATTATCTCTCAATTATGTAGTTAAAAGACCATTTCCAAGATTGAAAGATGGTATTAAATAAAATGCTTTAGATGTATTATATACTTTGATTTTTTTCTTGGTCCTAATCATTTTGGCCTAAGTAAATACAGTATTATAATTTAAAAAATAACCTCAGGTCTATAATTGTGAACTAAATATGAACCAAGCAGAGAGATAAAAGCTTTATCTTAATAGTCCTCCCTGTCCAAGGTTACCTCAAAATAGAGTATAATTGCAAAATCAGAGACGGTTGGCTAAGAATAAACCAACCTTAAAGACTGATGAATGACAGATTCCAGGACCTCCTGCAAACCCCAGGCTTTGGGACTGGCACCGAGGAGGCTGTGGGCTCCTAGCAGTTATTCACATTCCAGTTACTCAAATTCCAGCTAATTTGCAGACTCAGTTCTAAAGGTTGAAACCAATTTGTTCATCTAGTCAATCAGTCAAAATTCAAAACAACATATTTTCCAAAAGCCAGACTGTGTCGGGCACCATCTGAAGTGCTGAGGACACAGGACACAGAACACAGTTTCTGCTACCTTGAAGCTCAAGGCTGAAATGAACAAAAGTATTTATGGTAAAAATGATGAGATGTAGCGACTGCTTTAAAATACTGGGAGGGGGTTTGTGGAGGAATTAGCGAAACAACATTGGCAAAATGTTGACAGTTGTTAAAGCTGAGTGATGGGTCCTTGGGGATGTGTTATATGTTCCTCTCTGCTTTTGTGTACATTTGAAGTTCAATGTTTTTTATAAAAGGTGTAAAAAGAAAGGGAGCGCACAGTCTGATCAGTGGAAAAATGAGTGAAAATTGAGTTGGCCAAAAAGTTTAGTTTTTTTTTTTTCTGTACGATGGCTCTAGTAGTGCTTAGTTGTCTTTAACTTCATTTGAGACAATTTTGTTAGACTGTATTGTTACAGCTGTCATATCAGCATGCATTTTTTAAAAATCTAATCAAAATTGATGAATTTTTGTGCAGCCATTTTAATATTGAAGATGGAAGAAAACATGGAACATTTTCAGCATATTATACTTTATTATTTCAAAAACATAAAAATGCTACTGAAATGCAAAAAAAAAAAAAGATTTGTGCAATGT